ATCTGACCGAGTTCCCAGGTGAGGCTCATGTCTGGGTCGGTCAGAAGGCGTCGAGGAGCAGTACTGTTCAGGCTGCCGTAGCTCTGCATACGAAAACGTATGCGACCGTTATCTGGAGTAGCATTCAAATTTGCTACTCCTGGGTTCAAAATGGAGCTCTGTTACACAAGTAAGAAAATGGCAGGTACTCTAGCGAGGCGGACACTTACCAGGGGCTTCTCAATCCGAGTGAGTTTCGCCAAGGCATCCTGTACGTCTTCAACGGATTTCCCGATCACTCGGATGCCATGGCCTTCGACAACGCAAGCCTCAGTCCCAGTCAAAGCCGATATCTGCGAGAGAAATCCACGGAACCTGTTGTCTGAAAAGCAGCCCACGCCCCCAGTGGGCGATAGCCAGAACCTAGTGACAAGAGCTGCGGGGTTAGGTATCAAGTCCTCGTCAGAGCTGTCTGATAGGGCTAGAAGCCCGCCTTCTTCGTCCTTGTCTGAACCGGAAGCCACGGTGTCTTCGTCGACAGGCATAATGGAAGAGACGTCAAGTTGATTGATCCGAGGCATCTAAAGTTTCTGCCCGTTAGCGAGATGTTCTGTTGGGAGTGGGAGAACAAGAAAGCCCCGAGACGTACGTCTAGCAAATCCTTATTCTCCTGACCATCGATGAAGTTTGATACAACCTTTGCAATTTGAGACGTGCCGCCCTCCAGATTACCCTTGATCTCAAGAACCTAGACAAGCGACTTTGTTAGCATGATGAATCGAGTTCACTGGGTGGGAAATCAACACACGTTGTCATGCTTATGGTAATGATATTCACTGTCACACTGGATTTTGAGTTTCCTACAACAGTCAGCCTTAATCACAGAAGAAGTGTGTGTTGGCTAGGCTCTTTACTTGATCTGATCTGTAACCTCCTCAACCTGTTATTGTGTTAATGCGGACCACGATGTAACGACACTAGCTTTTGCTTACCCCAATATCTTCAAACGCCCACATCGACGCCAGCGTGAGCCGCTTCATTCCCGACATTGTGTGGAATGAAGATGTGAAAGATCGTGCAAATGAACTCTAAGATGGGTGTGGTAGGAAGAACAGAACGAGATTGATGGTGATAACCGATGAAAGACGAACCAGTCAAGGCATGAACAAGATTACGAAGAAAAGAGGAAAGACGAAAGGAGGAAGTGGAAAAGAAAACAAGAAGGAAGTGGTGCTTGGGGGGGGGGGGAGATGGCGGGGCAAGGGTGGTCAGTTAATTCTCATGGCAATGAAACACCGGGGAAAGAGCCAGGGTGAATGACCAGTGATCAATAATAACACGAGGCGAACTTTAAGGGAATCAACACAGACACTTGCACAAACACAGAGCGGGTGGGTGCAGCTGGAATTCCCTGTGAGTGGACGCCACTGGAACAGTCACGGTGTGTCATTGAAGTTAACAGAAGTACGGTCTGGGCAAGAGAAGGCAAAGCCCGCGTTCTGTAGACAATGAAAGTAACTGCATCAAGACACAGTGAAGTCCCTGATCCAGAAAGAATACAAATACTCCCAGAAAGGATGAGATGGTGTGGGAGGTGTGATGTTAGCAGCACAGGAAGAGGCCGTCCCAAGCCTTTCAAAGGAGAGTACCGTCACAGAGGAAGTTTTTGCATTACTGTAAGATTGCATTGTTGACATGCAAAGGATAAAAAGTATATCTACACGGATTCTGCCGTTCTGGTCATCCGAACACTCTAAACACAGGGTGACACGCAAGGACATGATGGTCTATTCTTCCGGGGTATCGAGCAATCCCAAACTCCAGATCTCTTCCAGAGATACTGTGGAGTGTGAATATGAGAGGAAAGAGAAACATTGAAGGGAAAGAGAAAGAGAAGTAAAGAGAGGTGGACAAGAAGAGGGGAAGGAAAAGCAAAAGAGTGAGAGAAAAGAGAAGAAAAAAAAGAAATTACAAGAAAATTAAAAAAAGGCCCACGGCCTGAAGGGTTTCGTCTTCGCTGACTAGGCGCAGACTTGGCCAGTAACCTCCGTGCTGAAGGCATAAGAGCGCCGATGAAGGGACGAAGATTGAGTCGAATGTGCCAGATCAATGTACCCGCCATTGAATCGAAGCTGCGTAGGTAGTCCAAAGCGTATTCTGCCCAGTAGCAGCTTTCCCAGGTACGTTCCTTTGGATCGTCATTGGAGAAGGGTATCATTTATTCGGCATCCTTGATTTGGTGCTTGACTTGAATGGCCCATTTCATCTGCCCCTGGGTTTCTTGCAGCGCAGCAAGGGCCGCATTGATTTTGGCCTCACCCTCACGTCCGCTTTCAATCAGGGATCTCAATTCTTCGTCCTGGGTGCGTTTGTAGGCTTCGTATTCGGCGAAGAGGGCCTCGAACTTCTGCCTGCTGCTCTCAAGCTCACGATCCTTCTCAGCCATCAGTTCGTCCAGGCGCTCTACATGAGTGTCTTTTTCGTCACTTCGTTTCTTCAAAGCGACAAAATCATCCCGGAGCACCTTGAGCTTCTTCAGATGTTCCGCCCGTTCCCGTTGTCCGGTCTTCGCCAGCACATCATACTGAGTTCGAGAATGATGAGAGATTTCTTGAAGCTCGGCGCATTTCCGATGAAAATCGTCTCGAGCTTCATCCATCAATTGAGTTGTCTTCCGAGCTTCTCCCTCAGCATGAGATCTCCGGTCTTTCTCGCCTTGAATTTCCAGCCGAAGCTCTTCGATTTTCTTATCCTTCCGTGAAATGGAGTGCAGATTGGTCTCATTCGCTTGTTCGAGATTGCGGAGTCGTTCGGTCATATTCTGGACCTGGATCTTGAACGCATCGTTCATTCGCTGGGTCTCCTCGGCCCTCGAGCGATAGACGCTACAATCGCGGGTCAAACGCGCAACCTCCTCCTGTAGATTGTGTATCACCCGTCCCGACTTTCCCGTCGCTGCGTGGCCGACGGCGGATGACCATTCGGTTGCCGGAACATCGCCAGATATGGAATTGTGGATGCCGTTCGTGCCGTTCGGTGAGGGGACAACTACCGTTTCTACGCACGTGCACACGAATTAGCTGGGGTCGAGGGCATGGGAAAGGGGGAGGGGGGCGGAGAGGCTTACCTGTGGATGACTCTTCCGCAGCGGATGCCTTCTGACGCTCCGGGGTACCAATTTCAAAGAGGCCATTGTACTGATGCATGTTCAATTCCGTTTCCACATGTGGTAAGCTCACACGAGGCGCTCGTTGGGGATCTGACGTAGGTAGCACAAGCATGTCCGAGTCAGCATTTTTTGTTCCTGCCTTAGGGGACTTCTTGACCCGACCGAATCGGGCCATTCCGAGCAAAGCGGATAGGGTTGGAATGTTGGCTAAAAGGCAGAATAACCGCAAAGGGCAATGCGACAATGAAGGGAACGGAGTAGGTATCCAAGCAGCAACCTACTCCCTTGGGAGGGGAGGAAGGAAGACCACGTAGGATGCCACTCCGTAGCCGGAGTTGGGGCCGCAGCAAGGAGCAAGCAAGCAACTTAAATCGACGAAACGAACACCGCCAATGACAACAACTGGATTGTACAAAAGCAAATCAAGGGTGAGATACTAGTAGATCTAGTAGTAAAAGGTGCGCCCGCAAACTTTCTGACCCCGGAATTGACAAACGAGCACGTCGCGGGGAAGATTGGGAACTTAAGTGGCAGATGATGATAGGGATGCATGGAAAGGCACAAAATGACGAGGAAGAAGGGGAAGAAAAAGCGCAGCACATACCACGAAGTGGATCAATGCTTGTTTGCAGATCTGCAACACGAATATTATTATTATTGTGATGAGGATTAGAATGGTGCTTATTCATCGCCGAGACATCAGAAAAAAAAAATCCGAGATTGCGGTGGAAGAAGTTGAACTCGATGGATGCAGAAGCAAAGGCGGCAAGTGCTGAAACAAGTAGACAATGACAGGGCCTGGGTCACTCTCAACGCACCTAAATGTACTATTTTACCCGCTGATCCGCGTCGACAGCAGCACGAACCATAAACTCACGCAGCTGGGTGAATATCGTAGGGTTCACAGGAGACGAGAGGCTGAGTGATATATATAGTATCAACTAGTATATGGACAGTGATAAGGGAGGGGCAGTAGTATGGTAATCGAGAGTTTGAAAGGGAATGACCGGTGGTGACTCTGTCAGTTGGCAGTAGAAATAAATATTTTCTGGGAAGATGAGAGAGATCCCCGCACTTAATAAAGATTGCAGCCGGAACTGCTGGGCAGCAAAAAAGAAAAGAAGGCACTAATAGGGATCGAGATGTCTGATGATGTGAGGTGTCTGCCTGGCAGCAAAAGAACAATAATAATAATTAATGAATAAGATGAATTAAGAATAGTAGCGCCCGACCTGGGACTGCCGCCGCTAACCACGGCCGCTAGAAGCAAAACCTTGTCCTTCGGATCCAATCCCCTCTGCTTGCCTCCCCCCCCCCATCGATCTTCCAACTTGAAACAATCCAGCCTCACTGTCAATTATGACTTGTAGGAACAGTCCGATTGATGATGCAAACAATTTCACCCAACTCCAGACCTGTAATCAGTTCAACGATTGGCTAGTGGACATTATACATGACATAATAAACTCGTTGTTTGCTATTGGCTACACTAACTAGAAGTTGGCTATCGAAAACCCTTTTTGAAGGGAAAACCCCCATCACTCGTAGTATCCAAACGAACCCTATTCCCGCCTTCAAAATATCGTCTCTCGCCTGACCGTTCAATAACCCATAATCGTGAAATCTCATTATATACAAAGGAAATCTGACCAAAGGAGCGACTCACACCAAGGAAAAGAAAAGGTAAGGATGGGACGGGTTCGAAACAGAAAAGAACCATATGAATAGAAAGTTTTGTCGTGATGACCGAGGCCAACATAACTGGCAGTTCCCGAACCTCAGAACTGAAATAGACGATTAGATCCCAATGCTCATGCTACCTACTGAGGACTTCGGTCCTCCCACGTCAGATTCAGCAGACGAGATAGAAACCCATAGCCACGATGCCAAGGACCAGATCAAGAGAGACCATCTGGAAAGGTGCGCCACCATTCTGCATTGCCGCCGCCATGGCACTCTTGCTGGAAACATTGGAGTTACTGTCATGGTTGGCATCCAATGTGAAATTTGTTGTCGCATTGTTGCCAGGCAAAACACTGTTCACTTCATCCCGGGGAGCAGTGTCGGTGGGAGTAGGAGTTGGTGTTGTCTGTGTTTGGGATGCTGTTGTCGTGTCCTGTGTGGAGGTAGTTGAGCTTGCAGCTGAAGTTGCAGCGGTTCTTTCCGAGTCATTGTTCAATGTCACTAGCCCCGAATAGTTTACCTGCCCATCCTGGTCGATCTGAAAGGCATAATCTGAGCCTGGTTCCAGAGAGTTTTCAGGTGTCCAAGTGTAAGAGCCTCCCTTTGCATCTTTGGTCAAGACTTGGACAGTGTCGAGGTCTGCGGCTGCTCCTTTACGCAGGGTGATCGTAACGGGCTAGTAATGTCATCAGCAAAGTGCACCAGAAATACCCAAGGAATGAAGAAGGGATCGTACAGCATCAGAGTCACTGTCCCAGTTCAAGGTTGTAGGGGCGCCGGCATCAATAGTAGTCGGCCAATGCGTGAAAGCCAAGGCTGCTTGGGCAATCTGGACTTGAGCCAGACACGCCGCAACAGCAACAACTGCCTCTGTAAAGCGCATGGTTGTCGCAGTACCAATGTTTGTAGGTCAAGTATCAGAGAATGAGATGCAGTTACTCTCGCAAGCAGCACTGGCTGATGCAAGCCGCTGTCAATGATGATTCCCCTAGTACTGGTTCACTTCTTCCTGCAAAGATCTCCGCAAGATCTCAGTGAGTTGACACACCTTGGGATTCCCTAGTAAGTACTGTCACGACGTCCTATACTCACCCTTTGCCGTGTAGAGCTACCGTCCAGAACGTCCAGAAATCGGTGTGGCTCGTACAGAACAGAGATCTCCAGAGGTGTGGATGGCATCAGGGCTGGACGATGGACTTTTATTTCCCTCCTTTACCCGTGCTTTGTTTACCTTCGAGTATGCTAGCATACCAGGAGAAAGGCGCGACAAACATGCCGGCATTGAGCACTAGCATTCCGGCTACGCTGCCCATGACTGGCACAGGCTCATGTGTAGGAATGTAGCCGAAGTACCGAGTCGAGGCTCTACATTCCCCTCCGCGCCTTTCACAAGGGGTGGGACTGTGACAGCCAAACGGCCTATCTTAGCTGGATCTCTCCGAGTTGGCTTGAATACGATCGCGAGATGAAGCAGATATCGATACATTGTCTCAGCAACACCTGCCCCCATCCGCTTCAAGGGCGACAGAACGATTACTTTGGGCCGTCTTAGAACTTAGTAAAGTGTCTCGCCACATGTTGAAGTCATCGGAACATTCAAGTATGTGTCCTTCATTCAAATCGTTTCAATATCTCTAGGCTCATGAATTTAGATTCTTTTTGCAAGAGCGAAGGGCGGATATGTCACGGCTCTACATACTTGTGCATCCCCAACCCGAGGCCGTAATTCCCCAGAAAGTTGCACCATGTCGAGTAGTCTATTCTGCCATCCACAGGGGAGGAAATTAGCTTCGCGTGGTGGGCGGACTTCAAATCTGCAAGGGGTAGATCCCGAGGAACGCGAAGAACTGTATCGGGCATGGGCTGATGGTACATCATCATAAATTCTTCTTCAATCTGTGTCAATCGGAGTGCAGCATGTGCCGATAGCTCGGTCGGTCTCGGTTTCGCACTTGAATCAATGATTCTACGATAACTTGTTGCACCGAGAGCTTATCAGAAATCCTCTGGAAATGCCCGATCCCGTAGAAAAGAGAACAGGGACGGGTTCCTGAAGTGAACCAGGGTTCACAGTTTCCAAAAATATCAAAGACCGAACAATCGTCTGGTTTTCCACGAGAAGCGCAACGGTGACACTCGATCCTGATTGTTCGGTTACCGAAAGCGGAAACCAGTTGAGCTTCGTCTGTATCCACATCGATAAACTACGACCTAAACGGTCTGTGAAGATACACTTCCCGATAAGCGATACGTGGAAAGGCACTATCCGGATGCATCCTGTTCTATTCTCTGCTGAAGTTACAGTTGCTTCCACTTTGAACGCCGAGTGGATAGGCTCGCTCTTTCCCTGCGGATAATGGATCCATCCAGCGAACAAGAAAAGCAAGTTAAGACCCCCAGGAGGAAGGATTTTGACTTGACTTGTTCCCTCATTCATTTATGTTCGTTTCTCCGGCCATAAAACTGTAATATTGTTGCCGTCCTATTCCTAGCAAATGACATAGACTGTCCAGTCGCTCGTTAACACCACGCTCGTTTCTTAAAAAGTTTCCCTTCTCTCGTTTTCAGTTACTCGAGTCTCTTGAAACTGCAATTTGAAAACCATTTCCTTTCTAACCTGGTATCTTCTTTAATGCTGCACTTTCTGCTTGGAATGTTGCAAGCGACCTTGCCCGTCTCTCTCAAGCGCAGTGCGTCCTCTTCGCTAGTGCGTGAAGCTGAGCCAGCACAGTCGACCACAAGAACAACAGACCCCAGCATCTCGCAACGGTTCTATCGATCAGTAGAATGTGAAAGCCGACATGAGACAGCCGAGTTCCCCGACCAAACGCTAGAACAGTCGCCTGCTGTGCCGCACCAAGAGTCGCTCGAGCATACACGAGAAACTGCTCTGCATACGCTAGCGCTTTGTCGCAATGTCATTGCTAGCCTCGAAATAACACGACTCAGCAAATCTCGAACTGGGCTACACTACTGGCTGGGCTTCTGGGACCGAATCTATGGCCGACAGTTCTCTCGTTTACTCTCCTCTCGAGTGACCAACACATTAGCCAGGATCGATGCGCTATTTCGCGCAGTCTCCGGAGACCTTCATGAGCTCACACGACGAATGCAACATGCCGTCACCTATGCTACATCGGAGAAGGAAATTCTCCGTCTTCTTGAGCGAATGGAAGACGAAGTCAGTGTACGCCGAAAGCGGAGACGGAAGAAGGCACAGATTATCATGAACAAACTGCGTGCCAGCATCGAAGCAGTGCCTATTAAAGTTACCGATGAACTTTTCGATGACTTGAAGCGCGGCGTGTTTGCCTTGGATGTGTTTTGTGATTACCACCCTGGGGACCCCGAGGCAGAAGAGCATGAACGCCAGGCATTGCAACCGATGAATATGGTGACAGTATCACCGTATATACAACCGTGGCACGAATCGGCAGCGGCTGGGGCGTATATGCCTCTATCAGCATACACGGAGATCCACCCGGACTGGACGGAGTATGCGGGGGACTGGATGCATAGGGTGGATTATCGCAGTCGGCAACCTCCTCCGAATAATCCTGCGGCGCACCATAGGTAGATCGAGTCTAAATCTGGGTGCGGAATGAAGATAACGGTCCTGGATAGATTTGATCATCTCCTATAGTGGCCGCTCACGGTCAGGTTGACCCATGACACTATTATTGTTCTTATAGATTAGACCGCAAACTATTGTGATTCATGCTTTGATGGCAGATAGATAAACTTGAAACTTTTAATAACTTTTTTTTGAACCCATCCGTGTCCCGCCAAATCTAATTATGTACGCTAAAAAATGTCAAGTCTAAGAAAAAAGGGCACAGCCGTAGAAATAAACAATATATACCTTGCTCATCAAGCAAAATCCCACAATCCTCGGACATAGCTTCCAGGACCGGAATCCTGGCCACCATCCTCCTCCAACAACCGATCGGTAAAGATCCGCCTGGGTATTTGATACTCCACCACCGGCGTCCGCTTGAACGGCTTGTCCTCAGTGCCCAGCTCTCCCTGCAACATACCCTGGTAAGTGTAATCCAGGAAATCCTCCAGATTATAGAACTGTTTCGTGAACTGCTCGGAAATAATGTTCGCAATAGCAGCCACATTAGGATGATAATGAGACTGAAGAGTCTCAATCTCCCATAAACTGCTCTCGATGGCGTTTGTGCGGGTCGGATCGGGCTCAGTAGGATCGAAAGGATCGTCCATACCCTCAGCTTCTATCTGAGCCTTGAGCCCCTCGTCGCGTATGTTGCGGTGCATCATGAAGGCGCAAGTAGGGTGTTCTTTGAGGAGGTTGTACATGAAGGGGACGATGGCCACGATGGCAGTGGGGGGCGCATTAAGAGAGAGGCGGGAAAGACGCTTGAGGAAGCTTGCGATCAGGGCGGCGGGCAAGTGGGTAGAGGCGAGGAAGGTGTTCATGAGGCGGAAGAAGCGCGAGCGGTGCTTGGAGTGGAGGAGGTCGGCGTCAAGGAGCGAGTAGAGCTTTTGGTAGAATTGGGGGTAGTCGAGGTTCTTTTCTTGGATGAGGTAGAAGAGACCCGAGAGGGCGAGGAGAGAGGTGGCTCCTCCGACGTTGTAGGAGTCTGTTAAGAAGTCCATGAGGAGTTCGGGGCGGTTGAACCACGGCTCGATGTTGTGGACCATGATGCGCAGGAGGGTTTTACGCTGCGATTGGGAGAGGTTGTTGCGTAGGATGGCGAGCCAGGCGTCTTGGGCTCGTTTCTTGTGCGAGTTCACGGAAAGGACCTTTTTGTTTTGCTTGCTGGATTCCGTGTAGAAGCTTTCGAATTCGTGCTCCGGGCCGGGGACGGAATCGCATGCTGAGAGGATGGAGATTAGGACGTCGAGGATCTCGGATGGTTGTTCGGTGTCTGCGTATTCGCTGCTTTGTGTGTCAGTGGATGTGGGTTGGTGGAAGTCTTTATTTATGGTTGTGCAAATGGACGTACGCAAGTTGCATGAATGTGTAGTACCGCACGTCTTCGAATTCCTTTGCCTTCTCGATGAATTCGGAGAGCACCGCTTGTCCATTCTGGGCTTCAACAACCGCCTCGAAAACTCCCTTGAACAAACCCGATGTCCATTCCTGAGTGTTGTCGCCGGGGAGGTGGGTAGCACGTTCGTTGATGAGGCAGAGGCACAAGGTCAAGGCGCTGATCTGCTGGGGGTTAGTACCGTACGCATTTGGCCAGTTGGGGTAGATACGGACCTGAGAAGAGGAGTCGCATTCGCGAATGATGGACAGCAAGAGCTTCTGGTACTCCCGGCAGCGTTCCTTCAACCAAGCTACAATGATTTTCTCATTCTCTGCGGCGCGACTGGTCTCCGTCAAGTTTCCACCAGCGATCAGACGGCTGAAAACCCGGCAAAGGGCCACGGCAACAGCCATGTTCGGTTTCGACGAGCCATCGACATTGAGCATGGAAATCAGGGTCGCAATGTTGTTGTAGTATTTTCGCGACTCGGAAATTTGGTCTTCCAGCTGCTGGATATCGGCAATCGCATTGGGGCTCTCGGTCTCAGCGACTGCGCGGCGCTTGGAGGAGGGAACGGCGCTCGACTTGACATTTTTCCTCTTCTTAGAGGTGACGGCTGCAGTTGTAGGGGCAGGCATGGTCGATAGAACTGCAGATATCGCGCAAAATCGGGGAGACTTGACCGACAGGCAGCACAGCAGTTCCGACATCAACCATGAATTTTTGGAGATCCCTCGGTTAGCGGTTTTTCCGCCCACTGGCGCTAAGCCCGAGCGGGTTAGAGTCTTCCGCACCGTCCCAACCGCCATCCCGACCTCAGTCTCCTCATTTCCGTTCATCCATCACATCCTGTCAAGGTCTGAACACTGCTACAATGGCTTCGCGTTTGGCTAAGAGCGCCCTTGGTATGCCGAACTAGACTCTTTTCGGCTTGCTTTATCAACTGGCTATGATTGTTAACGCCCCCTAGGTGCTGCCCGGCTCCGGCCGACCCTTCCCACGCGCAACGTCGCTCCCATCACTGCCACCTTGACCGCGTCTCGCTCGGCCTCCAACGTTCCCACCGAGGACCCCAAGAAGAAGGCTCAGTCCATCATCGATGCTCTCCCCGGCAACTCCCTGGTCTCCAAGACCGCCGTCCTCTCTGCCGCTGCCGGTATCTCCATCGCTGCCATCAGCAACGAGCTCTATGTTATGAACGAGGAAACCGTTGCTGCTTTCTGTCTTCTCAGCGTCTTCACTGCCGTTGCCAAGTACGGTGGTCCTGCTTACCGTGAGTGGGCTGAGGGTCAGGTTCAGAAGCACAAGGACATCCTGAACGCTGCCCGTGCCGACCACACCAACGCCGTTAAGCAGCGTATGGAGAACGTTCAGGAGCTCTCCAGCGTTGTTGAGCTCACCAAGCAGCTGTTCGCTGTTTCCAAGGTACATTCAGATCCTTTCCACACCCATCCGATCGAAATATCGTCGGGTTAGCGGATACAGGAAGCTAACGGTACGTAAAGGAAACCGCTCAGCTTGAGGCCCAGGCCTACGAGCTTGAGCAGCGCACTGCTCTTGCTGCCGAGGCCAAGCAGGTTCTCGACTCCTGGGTTCGCTACGAGGGCCAGGTTAAGCAGCGCCAGCAGCGTGAGCTTGCCGAGAGCGTCATCGGCAAGATCCAGAAGGAGCTTGAGAACCCCAAGGTTCTCCAGCAGATCCTTCAGCAGAGCGTTGCCGATGTTGAGCGTAAGTGGATCACATGTGTGCCGCATAATTTTTGATACGATGCTTACAACTATTTTAGGTATCATGTCCTCCAAGGCCCAGTAAATGGACTAGCATGAATAGCCCCGCCGTCAGCCTATGTACAAATTAAAGATCTTTCCTGTTGTCGTTAGACATACCAATACCAAATGTGGTCAGTTTAAGAGACGTGTAGCCGAGTAGCTAGACCTAAATCTCTCGGTCTAAATCCAGTATGGATCTAGATGGTTGAATTTGTACACTCTCCCGTCATTTTGTCGTGGAGAAATATGTTTCGCACCAAACTGTAATTCCAACGTAGTTGGACACTTCTAGCATCCCATATATGCTATTACTTACTACTCCATACTAGGCTTGTATTACATGCCTCTGCTATTCGGCAGTTGAATCATGTGGTGGCTTCAGGGTGACTGTTTTGGGATTTTGCTATTTGTTTGATACTATGATGCATCAACAAGCCAACACTGCGGTGGAGTAGCTGGGCTGTGCCCTGCAGGGCTGACGAAAGCCCTCTGCTGACGACAGTCTTCAATATCTTTATCAATATCTTTATCAACAAATCTGTCTTCTTTTTTCTACTGGGACATGAAACCCCTACGAAGCAACTGCGGTTGTGGTTGTTGTTGGAGAGGGAACAATGAGGGACGCTCTTTCAGTTGCCGGGAATTCATCAATCAGGACATTAACCAGGGGTTTCGTGTGGAGCATCCACAACTACCAGCGCCATCAATTCACAACGCTCGTCCAGCAGCGTCAAACCAATCAGCCAGGCGCAGTTGCTCGAGTCTTTATGTGTGACATGACAAGATGAAGAAATTGCCGCCGCGGAGGCCAAGACACCAGCCAAACCACGGTTTGGCTGTGATTTGAGGAACGATAAAAATAACCATGACAGGCAATCCATCATCAAACAAAGTTCACAGCCTCGACTCAGCGCCTGTGCCCTGCCACCATCCTTGTATACGGCTGAAGAGTCTGTTATTTCAAGCCCTGATTCTCTTTCACCAACTGTCTTCTCCGATTCTTTTCCTCATCATCTTCTCCCCATTTTCTTTACGGTTGTGGCGCTGAGTATCCACCCTCCGCGATAAGCCGCCGCGCAACGATGCCGCTCCGCGAGATACTTCACAAGAAGGACGCCCTCAACAACACGGCCGACAACTATGCGTCCGGTGCCGTTCCCACGACCTCCGGCAGAAATGTGCCTCAGATTACCTTTATTCGAACCGACACAACCTCCCAAGAAGTGATCCGTCCGCCTGTCTTCGACGGAGATGCCGATCACCCCGACGATCGATATCTAGAACCCGTTCCTCCTTCTCCTTCGCATCGCAAATCGTTGAATCCGTTCCGTCGCTCGCGTGCTCCCTCAGAGTCCTCGGGTACAATTTCACCAACGCGCCCGCGCGGAGAAAGACGGCTGACGCACTTGCTGCACTTGGATCGCTCGGGGTCGCGGAATTCTAGCTCATCATCAGTCAACGTCCCATCCGACCTCCCGCAGATAAATTGTGATAGAGGCGACGAGCAAGAAAGGGAGGCACAATGGGAGAAGAGGGCCACGATGCTGGCACAGCGCAGCCCGCAAGCTGGAGCTTCGTGTCTGTCGCCTACTTCGCCGACAGGCTTCGGATTGGATGGCGCGCCATCGAGGTCGCGGAGTTCTAGTCGGAGCCGGATAAACGATCCAGAAGGGGATGTAAGTGGTCAGGCTGCAGTGTTCTCCATGCATGGCATCTAATGGTGGCATAGGTCAATGTACAAGAGGCGATCCGACTTCATGAAGCTGGAGGTATGGGCATAACTTGGAGTTTGGCTGTCCGCTTGCTCAGTCACTTACACCTGGCGTACAGAACTCGAACGGTCGACAAAGATGTTTGAGCACCTGGCGGACCCTAACGGTGCCAACAATGCACTCAGTCAAGTGCTCTATGGGCTAGCACTCCGGTAAGTAGCAACCGTACCTTTGTTGAGCTCCGTTTACGCCCGACTCTTATCGCTGTCTGCATATTCGATGAACACTATTGCTACATGATACTGATTTGGGCTTGATATAGACATGGTTGGGGCTGCTCGCCAGATCCTGATAGAGCCGTCATGTATCTTTCGGCCGCAGCGTCCAACTCGGCATCGATAGAGTCTCAGGCGCTCCAGGCCGGCATCAAGAAAGGCGGATCTGCTAAGGGAGAGCTAGTGTTGGCTATTTTCGAGCTGGGAAACTGCTTCCGTAATGGCTGGGGCGTCAAGAAAGACCCAGTCGCAGCGCGACAATACTTCGAAACGGCAGCCAACCTGGGCGATACCGACGCGATGAACGAGGTTGCTTGGTGCTACCTAGAAGGGTTTGGCGGGAAAAAGGACAAGGTTAGTGCTGCTTGCGTAATGGTTCATTCGTGATGATTATCGCAACATGATCTGCCCGTGTCCTGGGGGTCTCGCAGCTCAGGCATCAATGCCTGAAGCCCGCATCACTCTTTGGATCCATCGGTGCTATCTGATCATCTGTATGAGCAGTTGACTGACTCGCAACGCCATGTTTTAGTTCACGGCCGCCAAATACTACCGATTGGCCGAAGAGAAAGGCAACAAATTAGTGGGAAATTCCTGGTACGTTAAAATGTCCCTTTTCAGCGTCGTATTTTCATTGTTTGATGCCCATTTCTGGGTCCTCCACGGGGCCAGTGTGACGAGCATTGCCTCAGACCCCAGCGCTCAGCGCTCTGCACCCGGCTCTCCTCACTTGCAGGTGTTGTTGCGGGATGCATTGATAGGCGCTCGGAGTTTCCGCTTCCCTGCGCCATGCAAACCAGCGTCACGCTCTCCGCCAACCACAGCCCCATTTCCCCCCATCAGCGGGTTTCTGGAGTTTAGGCTGACATGATCTTGTTCAACGACAGGATATGGAAGGACAAGTACAACCCGCACTGAACCGCTAGGGCTGTGTACCTGCTGTTTCTAGTTACAACGACCTTTCATCCGTACCGTCCCATCAGATGACGATGGCGTTTTGGACCGAGCTGAAGCAAGGCTAGAATGCTTCCACTTTCTTAGCCGGCTTCTTGCGGCCCAGACGTCCTTCTCCTTCCCACTTCGTATCCCGGCTCTGGGACACAGACCTCCTTACCTACTACCTTTTGCCGATTAATTATCTTCCATTCTTCGCTACCATCACCATGAAGGGAACGGCAATGATGATGACCCAAGCATCCAGCCTCATCTTTTTTCCTTACTGACACCCAATCTCAGAGCGTACTTTTGCTTGCTTCCCTTCCCCCGGATGTTCATACTACTTCCTTTCTTGGACTTTTCTTCTAATATTACATACATGCATACATACCCACTCTGCCTGTGCCACACCCACCAAAGCAGAGCAAATAATCGCTATCATTATACCATTACCCACCCCCATTTCCTCTTTTGTCTTCTCCCAGGACCCACGAAGTACCTTGCATTGAGTAACGTGTATGTGCATGGCATAACATCGCTTCGCATCATGTTGTTTGCGTTCGTGGGCTTGCATAGTCCCAGTAACATACTTTGCTCTAGTCCCACCCGTCACGTTGCATATGTAACTACAAGGTAGACCACTACTAGGGTAGGTAAGTAGGTAGGAATGTACGTAGTACTATTTACTGCCCGAACAAAATGCATTAATTAACCAATACATTATATATGCATGGTGGCCTGAGGTACTACGTATAGTCCAACCAAATAAGCACAGTAAATGAATAATAGTAATCAAGATAGTTATGCACACCACCAGATACCATACCCATTCCCATGTTATCATCAATGAATGACTACTAAGCATGCACATAGCATACCCACCATTCCAATAAGCACATATCTGTCATGAACATGATGGTAGACAGTAGACAGAATTCATACTCCGACCTGCGAGGCGGACATTATTCCCACCAAGAACATGTGCTACGATTGTAGTTGTAGTACATAGTTGCAGACAGTCCAACCATCTATCCAGAGTCGCCTTTCCATAGACAGTATCTCCAATCTCCAAGTTTCACGCTTAAACTATATATTGGGCTCAAACCCATCAACACATGGCGAGTGCAATCTCGTAGGGAGATGAGACTCATGATCGAGCCATGGGTAACCATGGTCATCGTTCCCGCTGGATTGATGCCTTTAATAGCAGGCATCATCTGTATGGGGTGATTCTCTGTGCGATGCGATGTGGTGATTTGTGTGTGATTATAGCTAGTTCATTGATTTTGCTCGACTACTGTCGAGTTGAGGTACATGTGGAGTGTCGTCCAGGGTGTACCATTTGGTAGCTCCTATCTCTCCCTCTTTGAAGCTTTGCAGAGTCGATTCAGGGAAGAAGTTGTGATGTTTCCTGTTCAATGAGAAAAAAAAAAAAAAGAAGCCTATCTCGGGTAAGGAGAGTAGGGATTGGATGAACAGGACAGGACAGCCATGTGCAGAATTGTAGCTGGCCAATTGGCGCCGTGGAATTATTGTTGAGTGTTAGATGCAGTGTGTTGCGGAAAATGTCTCATTTTGTGTTTGAAAGTTTGGGAGAACGATTCAAGAAAGGAGGCTGGAAATGTGCTCCCTTCAGGAGGATAATTGTTCTTGGGAAAGAGATTGAACGTGACACCAAGTGTTGTTTGACGTTATAGCTGGCCACTTGACTCCGCGCAACTGTTGTCGAGGTTGATGTGGAGTGGTTTCGCTTAGCGTCGTCGTACTGATGCTTTCTTGGAAGATTGTGGTTGTGATTATTGAAGAGAAAAAAGCAGTTTGGCGGTTTTGGAGTGTCCTGTGTCCAAGAGATAATTATCTTCTTGGGAGAGAAATCAAATCAACACGAGACCATGTGTTGTATGAAAGTATAGCTGGCCAATTGCTGTTGCTCAGCCGCTGTCGAGGTTGATGTGGAGTGTCTTGTACGAGTCATAGTTATATTGTTCTGGAAAGTCTCCAGAGCTGACTGAAGGAACAAGATAACTTGACGGGTATAGCGGATATTGTTTCCCCTGTCGGTTGGATCAGGTTGGAAGTGTTATTGGAGTTCCATGTTTCTTTTGTTGTGTTGAAGTAGCACTGTCGGGAATGTAGGATGGTATGCGAAGGTTATCTCTTCATCAGAATAGTCTTCTGGGTGTGTGATGGCACAAGGAAGCAGAGTGCACGAAGCGTTGAAGTTGGCTCTTCTTTCTGTTTGTCGGATGAGCTCTAACTAATCGCGCCTCTTTCATTGTGTCATAATAATACTGTGGGGAGTTTGTATAGTATGCGAAAATGACCTTTCCGTCTGACGTGGTTTCTGGTTTGTGTGATGACACAATGTGGGAGGATGCTCGGACCTTTGGATGATTTAAATCTCTGTGGTTGCGTGAGCTCGAAATAGTCATGTCTCTTTCGTTGTGCTCCAGTAGTACTGTTGGAAGTGTAGTATAAAATGGGAAGATGCTCTTCTCACCAGAAGAGTATTGCCGGTGTATTCACAAAACGGTAGGAAGATGCTTGACTTATTGAACCGACGACTTTCCCTATCGGTTGGGTAGTTAGTCGGATCTTCCTCATCGACGTGCTGAAGTGGTTGAGATAATATCGACAGCACATGGGACAATGCTGAACTCTGGGTCATAAGTGTCTTCTTCGTTTCTGCATATCGCAAGTATGAAGAAAGCAAATGCCAAGTAACAGAAAGCACTTTCTATACTGTAAGGGAAGAAATGCGCGTTTTTCGCATCTTTGAGCTTCTTTTTATGTCCGTGCTATCTTTTTCTCCTTGCACACTGACAATGAAGTCTTATATGCGCTCTGACTATTAGCAGGCAGCACGTCATCATCTGATATTATCAGCATGGCTTCTCAAGACCCGGTGTGTCCAAGATAGTCTGTCGTTGTACCATGCTTCCTAGTGGTTTAGTTCTTCTCTCCAGGTGAGGCGAGCTTGTCATTGAGCAGTTTCGCGTTGAAGGAAGGTAGAGGAATTTTGCTGAATCCTCTTATATAGATGGACCCCATAACATCATACCAAACAGACACGCGTATAAACAGTCAGTGACCCAAAGAGTATCATTGCTGTGTTCATACCAAATATGCAATTCTTTATCCACTTCTTCGAAGAGTATGTACGGGCCCTGCCACATAAGCAGGATGTGAGATGGTCGAGAAGGACCCTTGAATATTGTCAGGAGTGCAAGCGATAACCATCTGTGTCGATCTTAAGTTCTCAGGTATTAGCTTCGTCAGAATAGTCTGACACAATGGTATGGCGCGCAATCCTCCATTCTCCTCGACCCGGGGAGACGAAGCAAATGTTTCTATTATCGCGTCGTTTCAACCCAGTCATGGCCGTCATATTCTTCCAACCACCAGACAGGCAGTCGAAGCATTTGTTCCAGGTGTCATCAAGACGAGAGTAGCATTGCTCAGAGCAATAATCCCGTACCTTGGCTTGATACCTTTCCCTCGGTGGGCCAGTGATAATTTGAAGAGTGATCAAGGTGCTGCTCGACGTGGAACCTTTCATGGAAAGAAACCCGGTTTTTGAGAAAAAGATTTGGCTGGTATTTATATAGGCTAACAGGCGCAAGCCTTCCAGCTCCGCCGGCGCTATATCGGAGAAAGATGTAACTTATCACTTGCCTCCGAAAGTGACTTTTTGCCGGATCTGACTCGTAGCCGTGATTGTACAGCGCCCAGACAGCATTGGCTGATGGTTTTCGCCGCATCCATCACGCATCTGGAGCATCAAATGCAGGAAAGAACCAGTGACCTTTGCCAGATGCAGACAGGCAGTGGAAGAACTGATTTAAAGCCGATGAGTCTTAGGGAAGATGTTCTGTAGACATACCCTTTGTCTGCTTCGTCTAAGCCATTCCTTGAACACACCCAGCATTCGGAAAATGACACTCAGGAACAGGAAGATACGCTGTTGGACTTAGCGATGTGAACTGAACTGGAGACTTTAAGCTTCGCGTATCAAAGGCCACTTCGGCAGGTAAATTCCATTGGCGATGAGGTGTGAAGGAATTACGACGAGCCACGTCCAAGGGCATCGATGCCGGTGCACATGAGAATCGTGCACCAACCTTCATCATGGGCAATATCTCCTTCGGATACAGAAGAAGATTTCCTTCTCACCCGGCCATTCTGCGTTCTTTTGCGTTGACACGGACGGGCTGATCTCAACAGCTAGGGACATGCTCTCTCGTAATAGTCGTATCTAAAAGGTATAAACGTGACCCAGTAACACTGCGGAAAATATAAAGGGCATGTCAAAGCGGTAAGCTGGAATGAAGCGTTCATAGATGGTCTGTACCTTGGCCATATATATCATCTTCGCTTGCTTGGTGTGTTACTCATGCGTCCATATCTCAAAGTGATGTGTTCTGCTGGTCATGAGTCGAATTTTGCATAATGGGAATTAGTCCTCCAAGATATGCACAGGGCGCGATAAGCAGCCATTCAAGGGAGATTGCTGTGACATTGTCCTCTAGAGCCCCTCAATTGAGTTGATGTTGTAAGTATCCAAAAATGCTTCATATGAGGAGGATGAGCTGATGTCCCAGAAGCCTTTGAAGTATGCAGGCTAGTCCCTTAGATATATCAGGTACGTCGTTGCGCTTGTTGGCTGTGTTCAACGCGTCGAAGCTCTCGGCAGCACTGATCGAAATCACGTCATTGGCTTGTTTTCGTGGATCTCGTTCAAGGCGAAGGTTTTGATGACAGGATGGAGTGGTGCCCATATTCATCCAAACTGCTAGAGCACGAAGCTGAATTGTTGTTCACAATGAGTGAACCACAGGCCTTGGCCACAGGGAACAAATGGTACTTTCATACCGCCAGACACTGCTCAAGCAGTTGCCAGAGAAAGCGAGTAAGTGGATGTTAGGCACTTCGTCACCCTGTACCAATACTGACTCTTCCCTCTTCTGCGTCACGGACCAACTAGTCTGTTGGTGGAGTGATCACAGAGACAATCACCCAGTATACTCGTCAGGCAAGCGAGACATTTCGCAGTGTTGGAGCTTGAAGAACACCGCCTTATATATATGGTAGGTAAAGCGTTTTTCTGCAAGTTTCGCTTCATCCTCAGTAGACATTTTTGACGACTCTAGACGCGTGCAACTCGTCTTGTTGGGATTGATCGTAAGCAAGGACGACAGGGCCGTGTAAGAAAGTGATCGGGTAGCTCATGAATGGTTCTTGAAAGACCCAAGTGTATTCGATTTGATTGCTCCTTTCGATATTGCCTTGACCGACAAGCCGATCCTTGAAGCCTCTGACAAAGGACAGAGTGTGGCATGGCTCGGTAAAAGTGACGCCGGCTTTATATAGCATATGGTAAAGCACATTCCAGACACAGTGTGTTGACCGTGCACAGGGTATTGCCTACCACTGTGGTTAT